TCTTGACATGAACAAAGCAGTCAGGACAAATGATGACAAGCTGCTACTAGACAACGACAGGAATCAGAAATAAAGTGCAACAAAAGCAATAAAAAGGTGCATATTGTAAAAATAAATCTGACGACAGAGAAACCACTGGAGGAGACAAAAAAAAGTTAAATTAGGATACTGGAGGGTAATTCCTGACCTTCAAAATAGCAGTTAATGGAACAAATCACCCTTTTAAAAGCACTTCAAATCATTCGAAATCTCCAACACTGCTTCTAACAATGTGGTACAACAAAATGATGATTGCCTCCTGGCTAAATAATAAACTGAAGGGAAAAAAAAAACAACACCACAATGGAATGAATTAAGATACTTTAAACTATCGGAAAACAAATAGGAGACACATAATAAATCTAAATAAATAAAATCATTTTACTGTAATTTGCAATTTATTTAAACAATGTTAAAAATTATTTTCTTCACTTTCCCCCCAAAATGGATATAGACAATTTTGAAATATAATAAGAGTCAACTGGAGACATATATATATGACAAATAAAATGGTGAATAATTGTCTTGAAATGCTTTTTCTTTTTTTTCTTTTTTTTTTTTTTAGCAGTTTTTACTCTTTAACACTGACATAAAGAATTTAAATCTGTGTAAATGTGCAATGGAGCCGGAATGTAAGAAGCAGTAGGACGCTGAAGGTTTGGAAGAAATAATCATAAACAAAGTATAAGGAGTGCTCAACTTCAACACAAAACCCCTTACCAATGCCTGTAGTAAAAAAGATGCGAAAAGAAGACAAATTAATCTCTGAGGTCAAAGGCCATGACTCTTTTTATTTTTTTTACAGCATTACTCTTTTTTTTCCCTGTTTATTAAATAATCTAAATTAGGAGGAGGGATTATAGTCTCGTTGGAAGACAGACGGGAGAAAGATTAAAAAACTTCTCTGTGAAATTAAAACAAAATATATTAATATATATATATATATAGATAGATAGATATACATCACATGTAGTGTAATGTATATATTGTAACATACATAAACCGCCTGAAAAATAATTGTTAAAAAGGAACATACAAGCAGAAATATGGGGGAAAGTGCATTTAAGGCAACTGCTAGTTAGCTGAGTTTGCACAAGTATCGTCTCAGCCATTCCCCTTGGAAAGTTGAAGTGAATGTAGTGGGCTGTGGTTACTCTCGGCAATGTAATGACATCCCATAAAGAAGCTACCGTGAATGGAGCCAGGGGGGGGGTGATACGATGGCAGATACACTAGCTCGAGTACAAAGGGAACAAGCACAGTCAAGTAGTAAATATTTCAGGGACTGGGCCGAGTTAGTTTCGCAGGAAGCGAAGTGGAGCAGGTGTAGCGTTGCATTCACTTTCTCCTGTTTCAATTTGGCGAAGTGGACATCTAAATGGCTAGTTGTGTTTAGTAAAAGAGGGTCGTTAGTATCAAAGATGTCTTGGTTAGTAAAAAAGAGGGGCAGAGAGAGAACCCGGGGTGGTGAATGAGCCGCGGTGTGGTGCTTCTTTATCCGTATTTTTGCTCATGTGAAAGAAAAGAAACGGCAGAATTGCTAGATTTGAATTTGAACAAGTGTTGATAAAGATACTTTGCAATCTGAAAATATTTACAAGCTTGACAAAAGATCATGTGACCTTAAAGGGCAAATTGAAAGTTGCTCAGGTAAAATCCAGCACCCCCTGCTGGTCAACCAGAGCAACACATTTTAGGCAGTAGAATAAGAAATCCAGTATAGTGTATGTGATAGAGGGTAGAAATAAGAACAAAAAGAAAAAGAGGGGGGGGGGAGGCGGATATTCCGTTATTCCACATTCATATTCCAACGATTTTTTTAGTTGCAATTTCCAAGGAGATAAAGTTGATCTTTTGCAGCCGTCACCACAATCAAAACAGAGCAATTTATACCCTTTTTTAAGTCGTTTTATAAACTGCCAAGTACATCAACTGTTCAAGCTGCTTCAGAGAGTAAAAGAAAAGTGCCACTATTCACGAAAAAATAAAATAAGAAGGGAGACTACAGGAAATAATTCAGACACATGTACATATCAACAATGTATATATTACAGTACAGAATAGGGATGCTTTCTCAGTGGAAATCTTGGGACACAGTATTAGAGTGGTGGGAGCTGTAAAAAAGAAAGGAGGAGGGGAAAAGAAAAAAAACCCCAGAGAGTAAAGCTCTTACAGTCTGCTGGCTTTTGAGAAAAATTAAGAAGCAGTTTGACAATCCGTAGGTTTTCCTGTGGAGCTGGATCAAAGAGTGTCATTTACTCCCCCCAAAATCTTTTCTCTTTTTCATCTCTCTTCACTCATCTGTGTCCAGTGAAGACAACCTGAATGTCCTGTATGTCCCTTTTAGTGTCCATACACACCAGTTTCTGCAGTGTTTCTCTGTCCTTTTTTTTCTTTTTTCTTCCAGATATAACCTCTGGAGAGTCTGTGTAAGCACCATTCTGGGAACAGCGATGGCAGGCCAGCCATTGAGACACCACGTCCCGAGTGTTCCTTATGAGAATCTGACCTGAGACCAGCACTGTTCAAACGGCCTCTGCACTCGTGGGCCCTGAGTTGGCTCGCGTTCGTCAAGAACGTCCTTTCAGGTTTGGACGAGAAGGGAAGAGGAGAAAAAGAAGAGAGGTTGCGGTCGGGCGGTTTGTTTTCCTCGTTGTCTATGAGTTTTCTGTCTGTTTATATCCCCACTGCGGTTAAATGGTGGCGAATGGCATATTATTACCCTGCATGGCAGAGAGAACATTTCCCAGGCTTTGGTTTGGATTTGTCAAAGCGTGTGTATGTGTATGTGTGTGTGTTTGTATCTGCATGCATCTGTATATGCATGCGTGTCTGTAAACTATGTATGTAGGTATAAATATATATATATATGTGTGTGTGTGTGTTTGCATCTGCTGTAAGTGTCTTTCTAATTGTGTGCCATCTTGCAGTCTGTTACAGAACTCTCTATTTAATGTCCATCACTGCTCTAAAAACATCATCCTGGGCATCATCCTGAGAACCCAACCCCCCTCCCCCAACAATTTAAAAAACAAAAAGGTAAACCAAAAAAATAATAACATCTGAAGTGTGAACAGGCCAACGCACAATACATCCACCACCGTACTGACAGCAGTCACTGACGTTATGACAGTAGCAGCCACTGCTACGCACACTGTTTCACGCTTGTCCGGAAAATAAATAACACTGCAGTCACAAACAAGATCTCCAAGCTGACACACCACCTAAGAGGAAAAGAGAGAGAGAGAGACAGGGGTCAGAGAACACACAGCATGCTGCACATTTTATTATATTTACAGATCAATATGACAAGAATGATGATTTTCAATGTACTCGTTAGCGCAACCCACAGTAGCCCCAGTGTCCCACAGAGAAATTTTGCTATAGTCAGAAGTTTTAACTTCCTACAGCTTGTGGTTTGGGCTTTACAACCCACAGCTTTACTGCTTCAGTTCAGTCTCAACGCTGTGCACCATTTCCAGCCATTTTTCTTGTAAACACATGATGGAACTATATAAGCCTACTCTACTTGCCCAGGAACAAACAGCGGAGCAGACAAAGTTAGTAACTAATTTGTGATGCCACCCGAGAAGATGTTTTGCACAGGAGTTGGAGGAGACCAAAACAGGCCACAAGGTCAGAAAATACGGGAGTTGTATCAGGGAGTGTAAAAGTAGTGTGCTACAAAAGTGAGATGTGTCTCACCAAAAAGAATCACAAACAGTGACTTGATTCCTCCTCGGGTATGGAGTTGCAGTGTCAATAAGCTGCTTTCTGTTTAACAAATGTAGGACTTAATTTTATTTTATTTTTTATTTTTGCATGGTTTAAACTTACAAACTATAAGCCAAAGAGTTTGTGTTGTCATTCTTGCTCTCTAGGACAGAAAGAGATGCTGGACAAATTTCTTCTCTCTCCTCACTGCGATGGATAAAGTTGACAGAAGACTCACCAAAGTGTTTGTTTTATAATTTAAGGTAACAAAAGTCATGGCACTATTTCCACAACAGAGGCCAGAAAATTGAAACTGGCTCCATGTCTGCTATCTTGCTGCAGCGTCAGTCAAAACAACTTAGTTAGGGGATAATGTCAGCTGTTCTGCTGCCCTCAAGTGGCTGAAAAACTTAGAAATACAAGTATTACCTGGAAAACTATTAATAATGCCTGAAAACTGTGCATCACGTTTAAAACACATGGAACACAGGCTAAAACCAACAACAAACAAAAGCAAAAGAGATGACAAATGTTGATGATTATGGCACGGTTGACTTTCTGACAAATCTGCTACCTGAACAGGAAGTAAAAATGATGCACCCATGCAAAATTCATGAAGTTTAACAGAAATACATAAATGGGAAGATGCTGAGAGTATAGAAGGAGAAGGAAAGAAGGTATAAGTTAAGTATTTCTAAGTGAAGGTAAGATGGGAGGATGTACAGACCAAGGTCAAATCATTTGTACTTCTGGAAAGCATGGAGCCACCCAGTGGTCACACAGTAGGAAATAAAGAGCCTACTGTCCACAAACCTTATCATATAACAGTATTATGGAGAATTGTAACAAAGTGTTACTGCAGGACTTTCTAACGGAGTTTGCTATATTATTTATCTGCTGAGCTGACGGTAAATACTCTGTTCTACTATTTGGAGAATCCTCAGCTGAACTAAGACACAATTTTTCATTTTGCAACCTAATAATTGTTTTCCTGCTTTTATTTTGAAGGTCAGAAGCCAGTGGTGAGTGATGCTACACAAATGCATCTTGACTGAGGCCAATTTAGCCTGTGTAGCTTGACCATTCTCAGGTTTTTCTCTGGCTGCGACACAAAGCCAGAACCCTCTCTGTACAGGTTCTGCTTTAACCGGTGAATATTTGACCAAGGTCCAGAGGAGTTGATGGTGGTGGTTTGAACGTTGAAAGCCCACAGGGACTCACCTCTGCTACAGGACACGCCAAAGACTTCAAGGCCAAAGGATAAAGGCAAGAGAAAAGAATAGGAATAGAAACAGAAACTGCAGAAAGAGAAACAGAAAAATGAAGGAGGGACAAAGAAAGTGAGAGAATTAGAGGAACACTTGCGATATGTTAGTAACAGCAGAGACAGAAACAGAGGTTCACTGTACAGGGAAACGTGAAACACTAGGAATTATGAAACGTTATTACAAAATATCAGTCGCATAATTGTTGTGAAATTGTTGTTCTATTTGTTCTAAACACTTCAAATTTGATTCAAGGTGGATAAAATCACCTTCACTGTGATTGTCTGTCAGCAAAGATCCTTTATTTTTAATAAACTTAGTAGCATTTGTGGATTTTATGTTGGAGCTGCTGCGTCAAACATCTCCTACCTTTTCCTCCAGGTCTTTGATCTGCCTCCTCTGGATTTCTGTCTTGTCTTCAAGGTCACGAATTCTCTGCAATTATTGGGAGAAATAAAAGGCCAGTTCAGTGCCATAAACGGTAGCTTTGCATCGTCAAGCACGTCAGTCAGACGTTGACAGACCTGGTGGGCCTGGTGCAGCAGCTCCATCCTCTCCTGGAGGATCTGGCAGTCGTACTCGCGACTCTTCCTCAGCATCTGCCTCCTTAGCTTCTCCACCGCCGTTCGCAGCTCGTCCCTCTGAAGCTCATCCAGAGGCTCGCCGTACTTTATCACCTGGAAGACGGGAGGAGACAAACTTACATACTGACAAACAAAGAATCATAAACCAAGATAAACCTTTACTGTTCTCATATGAAGTCTTCTTTTATCAGGTTTTATGGAATCATAAGATTCAGAGAAAGGTTAGAACCGCCACAAAATTTTTGCAAGAACACATGTAAATTTATAATTAAGAGTCCATGCAGACAGCTTAGATGTTCCACATTAGTGGGAGCTGAATGATGACAAGTAGGCATTCAAAATGAAGGTTTAGTGACGCATTCCTTGACATTTTCTAAATTAATCTTAAGTACAACGCAATAACTAATTTGTTTCGGTATCATTTAGTTTTCGGAACAACAAGGCTGTACTGTAATGAAGTTAATAGTGAAATTGAAGACCTTGTCCTGCTGCAGGGCGTTGTACAGGGTTGCTTCCAACTCCTGGATTTGCTGTTGAGAGGAAAAAAATAGAATGAACATACATAGAATGTAAACTACTATACTTGTGGGGAGTTTGTGTTGCCTTTCCGTCAAACTACTAAATGCCTCTTAGAGCTTAACCTGACATTTTAATGAGTTTAACCTTCATACTAAAACCTTGTCTTAATATGAAAAATACAGTTAATGATCAACCATGCAGACTGAATATTGATCTTCAAATGAAACAAAATGTTCCCAAATTGGGACAGTAAACAGATTTTGGCGTCATAGTCTGATGTAGACATGATACGCAAACACACACTTACCATGTAGGCCTGGTCCAGGGCCTGTTTTCTGTAGTCCAGCTCTTCTTCTAGGTATCCTTTCTGTTTACAGAACATCTCCTGCACACAATAAGCCGGTTGGGGACAGTGATTAGGGAGGAAAGACGTGAAAAGTACATTTATTTGCAGCTCAACTGTAACTTGGCGTTCAGTTTACACCAGTGCAAAAATGTAAGTCTTTTGGTAAGGCATATTATACCCCACACAATGAAGACTCTATCTCTATCTACTACAGCTAGACATCATTAGATTAACAACATTTTTTGTCAGGATTCTTTTTTATGTTCTTTTAAATCCTAAACAAATTTATTTCTGTGAATCGAATCACAAATCAAAATCACTGTGTAATTTTCCTGTTTAGCATTATTACAACCCACCATCTCTATCTCCAGGTCCATCATCTTCTGGTGCAGCGCTGCTTCGGTCCCTTCAATCTGTTGAATCCACTAGAGGGCAACAAGCAGCAAACTGTGAGACCGTACAGCACAAAATGTTCTGCCATCAAATGAATCATAATAGGGTTTCCAGTCTTACCTTTTCTGCTAGTGACAAAACAGTGCTAGCCTGAATTATGGCCACTTGCTCCTCATTCCTTAAGTTCTGTGCAAAAGGAAAACAAAGCGTCAGCAATCTGAGTGTTTCGGGATCTAAATGATGATGCGTAAAGTTCCATATGAATTACCCCGTTATCTCCGAGGATATCTAGCAGCTTGATGAGATCTGGTATGCACACGTCCTGTCAAGAAAACAGACACAAATCCTATCAGGAGGATGCAGATATAAATGTAATTTAACTTTAACATGTGGTTTTTACTTCTACTGGTTTGTTGTGTTTGTAAGAGAAAATGTAAGAAGAGTGGGAAACCTCCTTTACTTTAGAATATATACTTCTGAAGTAGAGAAGTTCTTCTTTACCTTGACCCCTTCCTTCATACAGTAGATCTGCAGTGCACTGACTCCCTCTGAGAAGGGATGCATCCTCAGATGGTTGAATGGAGGCGACCTCCTCTCACGCTCCTACAACAACAGAAAGGCACATTTTATCATTCAAAGGACTTGAACTCTGATCATGAGTCTCTTTAGACTCTATTAGTTTTGGAGTGGTATGAAACAGTATTTTTCCTTTGATTGGTATGATGGTCTGAGAAATAACAGCATTATATCTCAGACAGTCAAATGTCATTTTTATAGCTAAGGAAGCTATGTTTGGGTTGTGCTTGGTAGAGAAAAGACTGTGCTTTTTCTTAATGTGTTTTGCCATTTTGTACTCAACTCCTGAATGTTTATCACTGCAGTTAACAAAGCAGAGAACACCAAATTTCATTAAAGCGTAGGTAATTTAATTCAAGATTATTTTTCATATTCATCAATTGTACACTGTGTTTCTGCATGTTTGACTTTCAGTCAGGAATTTTCTCTGCCTTGTTTGGCCACGCAACTGCCGACTTTGTTCTTAAGTTCATTGCAGACAGATGTCTGCTGCCGCTGTCATCTGAAGAAGCATGTGAACGCGCATATGATCTGAGATCGCCACGTTGGTGTTGTTCCTTCAACACTTTGTGTAATGTTGATGCAGGATCATCATAGCAACTGACTAAACACATTGTTGTGATATCCTGGCTGTGGGGAAAAAAACAAAAAGAAGACCATAAAAACAGGCACATGGGACAAGTTTGCCTTTAAAGTCTTTTTGTGAGCGCTAATGTTTTTTTTTGACGTTAGATTAATGTTGTGAAAGTGTCTGTTTTAAAGCTGTGATTTTTAGTTTTGATGCTTAAAATCAATCAAGCCATTTAGTTCACCCCTCTGCATCAGATAACTCCTCCACTCATATTTTTTTTTGCAGTATTACAATAGTTTAGTTACAGTTTTATTGCATTATTGTTTTTGTCTTTTGTTACTTGGCAAAGGCAGAAAAAAAGCAAATTGTACATATAGAAATCTTTGTATTGTATTCTCTTTCTTCCTGCTTGCTATTTTGGTTTTTCACTTTTTTTATTTTTGTATATTCTTATACAATTATTTATTTTGTGTTGCTGCTGTGATCAAACAATTTCCCTTGTGGATCAATAAAGTTTATTTAAGTCTATGTCTAAGTCTAAGCCGCCTTGTTGGGACTGAAAACTCATAGGTCAGCTGAGTCTAAAAATTAGGAGTCAATATTGACTTTAAGTTTCAGACTCCTGGGTGAAAGTCCTGTGTTTGAGCCATTCATTCGCCATCACCTCCTCCCTGTTCGGACTGTCGATCTCACCTCACTTGGGTATGTAAATAAGATTTCTGCCAGAAAGTTTCCACGACAGAGCTGCTCAGCATTTTTGCTGATGTTTTCCCTGAGTCGCAAACTCATGACATGACAATGACGGTCCAGGAGGAGCATAAAAGATGCTGTTTTGGAAATTTAAATTTAAATTTAGGTTGAATCACTACGACGTGGCGACAGGTGACATCAGCACTTCCCTGAGCACATCTGAATAATATCCTTTGTGCTCACTAGATGGCAGTTTTGGCCCTCACAAGCCGCCGTCAGTATCTGCACTGCAGCAGAGCCACAACACAGAGACCACTGTCAGCTAGTTACTAGCCTGTCGGACGGACTGGTGGGCTGTCTGTCCTAATTACTAACTTCACAAGTGATTTTAACAGAGCAGAAAACTGTGCTTAGGAGTGCTTTGTATGCAAAATCAAAGAGTGAGTGCATCTGGCAGCATGTTGAGTCACTGCACAGTATTTACCCTCTTCTCTCTTCATCTTTTTAAAAAAAAATGCAATCCTTCTGTCCTTCAGTATAGCTAGGAATTTAAGGTTAAAAGTGTAAATAAAGTGCCATGCTGTATTGTTTCTTTACCTTCACTGCATTTTACTTCCTCAAACTTAAAACAAAAGCTCAGCATTTGTGTTTAACAAAGCTGCAAAACTCCAGAAGCACAGACTTCCAGGAAATCAGTTAATGTCCAAGATCTGATTTTCAATGGCACATCCAATTTAAAAAAAAAAAAGAATTTAGAATAGATTAGATTACATTAGATTATAGAATTGATATGATGCATAAAGTGAAAGTGTTTTTTGTGCAACTCAATCAGACAAATGCTGGATCCATTGCCTAACTCGTAAACATAATTTGTGAACTGACATAATTGTGGCTTTTGCTTACAAGATTTGAAAGCTTTGAAGATGTTATTAACTCAGCACAGCAGCTTTAGGCTAACCTCAGGGAACCTTTATCACGCTACCGTACCAAAGGCTTGCTGGGGAACTCTTCATGACTCACCTCAAGCTCCAGTATCCTAAACTCTAACAGTTCATTTTGGTCTCTGGAGTCTTGAAGTTCCTGCTGCAGACGACTGTTGTCAGACTCCAACTTATCCACCTGGAAACCAATCAGTCGGACACTGTTTTCATTCATGTTTATATTACATTTATATTATTGATACAGTAAGAGTTGGAAACCATCAAACATTAACACTTCAATCCTAAATCTCAACATGTTTAGATTTAAAAACAGCAGTTGCCTTGATTTTTAGAAACCAAAGCTGAAACCAACCTTCTCTAGTAACTCCTGATTCCTTCGTAGGAACAGCTGCTTCTCCTCGACCCATTTGGAGTCCTGTAGGTGAGAAAAACAGCTGCTAGTTTAAATCAAACACATTTTTTGAAAAATAAACACAAATTTTTGTTACTCCCTGTTAAGCAACACAACACAGAAATGCAAAATTCAGCAATGGCAGGACAACAACTAGTACGGCGATGAGAGGACAGTAGGATGCTGACATTGGAAAGTCCTAAAAAAAAATGGCACAACTAACATTATATTGCTTTGCTATCTTTTTATTAATTCATTGTCTATTTTTACTAACTGGGGCCCAAATTGTTACTGAACACTTGCCCACTTACAGGCTTCATTCCATCTGTTTAGCAGTGAATCAACTTTACACACATGTACTTAACAAATCATATTTAGTCGCCCTCAATCATACAAGTTCTTTGTTTGGACTATTGTCAGGTGTTGCTGTAGTTTTGTCTGTCCCACCACGCGTACTCACGAGGGCCTTCTTTCATGCATCCTACCTACCTGTCCCTTCAGGGTTAGTTCCTTCTCCAAGTCCTCTATTTTGGCTTTATACCTGAGAACGTCTGCTTGAAGCTGCTCTTGAGCCTGAAACATGTGCAAAACAGACATTCATTAGTCTCTGGAATGCCTGCCTGTCTTTTTTTTTTTTATTGTTCGTCACATCAATGCACTGGTGTTCAAGAAAAGTGAGGAATTACAACTTCAAGTGCTGTCCAAATAACCTCTGGCAACACTTCTTACCATGTCAAGTCAGGCTGACATATGTAAGTGATGGTGCAACACTGTGTCACGATGGCACCTGGTGAGCTTTTTCATTTTGTTTTCCATTTAAAGCAATAAACTTAATCTACTTGAGGGCTTTGGATAATGTTTTGTTCACCGAAACTGTTGAATAAAGATTGTCATTTTGGAATATTTTGAGAGCATTTGTCAAATATGAGTTAACTTTGACTTCTCTACTGTACTAATAAGCATCTTTTGTTTAGATGTCTAGCGAGCAGAACCTTAACTAAACCTTGCTACTAAATAGTGTGACATATCACCATGAAAAATAGCATGACATTTAAAACCCCAGGAATTCAAAAAGAAGGAAGTCTGAATAACACCAAATGACTTAACCGGAATGTGGCTTTTCATGGATCCATAAATGTCCAATTTAGGTTTTCCAATAATATCCCTCAGGGAAAAGTTTTGTGACGTATGTCGACCCATCACAAGGCACATTCAGCACACAATGGACAAACACTAATCAAAAGTTACATCAGAGGATAGACTAATGTACTCAAGCATGCTCTGATATCCTCCATTCTGCAATAATCAGAGAAGTGAAATTTCCCCCTGATCAACAAAAGATGAAAGAATCAACATAAGATGAATCACCATAGGCTTCTTACTGGCTCTAACAGGCAATCCATCACATCACATCACATTAAGGTTGAAATTGTCTTTAACTATGGATATTTAAACTGTCGATACTGACCCATGCGCAGTGTCATTATACATTGTTCAATGACAATAAAACGGATTCTGATTTTGATTCCATTATTCACTCATGTGCATCAAATTTCAATCATCCATCCATTATCTATACACCGCTTAATCCTCACTAGGGTCGCGGGGGGGCTGGAGCCTATCCCAGCTGACTCAGGGCGAAGGCAGGGGACAAATTTCAATCATTGTATATCAAAATTTGAGACTATGTTTGGATGTAAGATTATTATTTTTTAAAATTTTACTAAGTGAACCACTTTGAAACTTAGGCTATCTAGCAATATTTTTGTTTTTATGGTGCATCTTATCATACCAGAGTGCTGTACTAAGAAGCAAGTTTGACATAGTCGGACTTGCTTCGTGGAAGTCGGCTCGACAAAACCGAAAGCCCCAGTCAGAGATAACGGTATCATGAAGGTGGTTATCAACTTTCTTTGCCAACTCAGGCTTTCTGCTTCAAACTTCACATAAAAGGGGGCGTTTAATGCGTCATGTGTTTCCTCTTCGGCACAAAGTGAAATGACCGTGTTCAGCTGCTTCAGTCAACAGGTTATAACAGAGAACAATGAGGAATATTAAAAAAATTATCACAGTAAAAAGTACTGCTCATGTAAATGGTGCAAGACAGAAATGCTGGTAGAAAACTGTTAAGCGTACGTAATGTATTTATTTTACTGATCAATTGACAGTTGCACGTTAAAATTAAACTTTAAACTTCATATATTTAAACATAATCTTGTCCTGAAGTGCATTTAGGTCTGACACTGTCCCATAATGCAGGAAATCACTTTAATTTTAATTCCACTTTCTAATCTGTGTTCTATCAGCTGTAGTACCAGCAGTTTCAATGGACTTGACAGCAAATCAGAGCCAAACATAAAAACATATCTAACTAAATACATGTCTGGTTCCCATGGCAGTGTGACATATACAGTGTGTGATACTGTAACTTGTTCAATGATATTTACAGTACAGTTCATCATGTTTGCAGATAAAACATATTCCCTCAGCTGAGAATCTGTATCGCTCATCAAGAATCGTCAGGAAATGATTTGGTTAAAGGGAGACGCTCCTTCCAGCCGATTTAAATCTGGAACTCTGACCATAACCTGCTCCTGACCAGGTTAGCACCACAGCATCAGTTACCATGGAGATCTAGCTCCACAGCATCAGTTGCCATGGAGATCTAGGCAGGTAAAAAGAGAGCCACATTCGTGACACGCTAACCCACTAATCTCACTTCGTAGTACAGCCCTCAGCTCATTTATAAAAGGTAAATAAAAATAACATTCTCTTTATTTTTGTTACTATGTCATATTATAAAGCATGCTACGTGTTTTGTTGTGTATTACTGTGACATAAAACTACACATGGTTATATCACTAGTTGACTTCTGCATTATCAGTTTTATTGTTTGATTTTATTGTTATTGTGGCATAACACTACGTATATGAACTCTGCTTTTTTGGAGTTTTTTTGTTAATGCAAGCTCAAAGATGGATGATGAATCAGCAGTATGACGAGAAATAACAGTGAAAACGTCTTTGATAGTTTGAGATAGTTTAGATATTGTTGTTCAAACATAGCCTCAAATTCGGAATGCATAAAATAAAATATGCTTTAAGTAGTTTAAAAATGCTATTTTGTAAAGTATTTAAAATATATATAGTTAAAATTTCAAAAATCTTTTTTATAAATGTCCATATTTTATGCTATGAAATAAATACAATTTTAGGCAAATCAGAGATGTCTGAGCAGATGTTGTTAATCGGTATATTTATTTTCGAATTTTGTATTTTGCATCTTTTACTATGTTTAACTCTATTTCTCCACTGTTTGCTACTCTAGTCTTTTTACTTTCTGGTACATTATTGTCCTCCAAGTATTCTCGTTTTAGCTTGCCTATCAAAGTCATCTGCAAACCCTATTTTCAAAGGTGCAATATAAATAAAAATAGAAGTTATTTTAATACTAGTCTTGTATAACACAATAAAACTGTTTTCAAAATCATGTGTTATTATAAATGCATCAGACTAAGATATAATCAAATTCTGTGTAACTCAATTCCCACAGTCTTATGACAACCATTTGACATGAAGACATGCAAAAATGAAGCACCGGTTAAAGCGTATTTTTAGCATCATGTATGTACCTTGGCTTCCATCTCAGCATCCAGTATGCCTCCTTTCTGTTCCTGCAGCAGGGCATAGGCTCGCTGTAAGGCCTGATATTCCCTGGTCAGCTGACGGAAACGTAGCTCCGATTCCTCATTTGCTAAACCCTAAACACAACCAAAGATCAAAGAATCAAAGATTGCGATTTCACCGGGTTAATATCCTACTTCTGCTGCAAAAAAAAAAATGGATTTGATAATAAAACTGGAAGTTAGAGAGTTAAACAGATTAGAGGATACTGACATGAAAATAAATAGTCCCTGCGAAACTTCTGAACTCTCGTTGTGACTTGATAAACATAAGACAAGTTCTCACCTCATCAAGGTCTTCATCAGGAGTGGCAGGGGTTCTGTCCATTCGGAATGAAGCCACTGAAGACGTCTCAGAGTCCATAGACTCTTCATCATACCCAAAGAAGGTGTCAACTACGATGGGCCGCTGCAGACAAAAAAGGTGAAAGGTTTCTGTATCAAACATCCTCTAATAACAAGTGCCAACAATCAGTGTACAGTTGTGAACAAAAGTTTAGATACGCCTTTAAAGACCATTCATATCATGGCAGTCTTGGGTTTCTAATGATTCCTATAACTCTGAACTTTCTATGATGCGGTCACAGAATATATGCATCTTTGTCACAAAAAACTACCATGCATTTTGGTTCTTTTGTGGATTTATTATAGGTCTTGTGGAAACATGACAAATTCTGCTGGGTCAAAAACATAAATACAGCAACTTAAATTAACAGTTTTGGTGATGTAGAAAGTTGGGTTAATCAAATGTTCCTAGTGGTATGGCCTCTTAGCCTCTCATATGTGATTCCAACTGACTACAGCTGCTGACTCCTTTTAGCCAATTTAAATAGATACACTCATGATACGCTCATATGATACACTCGTTGGACTCAGCCACAAACGCTATGATAAGAAAGTCTAAGGAGCTCAGTACCGATTTGAAAAAGGAAATCAGACTTGAACATGTCAGGAAAGTCACTCGGAGGCATTTCAAAGCAGATCCCAAGTACCATCTGTGTAAACCATTGTTTGTCAGCATGGCACAGTTGTGTCACTGCCACGATCAGTAAGAAAACACAATCTATTAGCTGCTGTTGAGAGACAACTGGTCTGGATGGTCAAGAGTCAACAAAATCACTACAAAGCAGATCTGCAACGCATTAGAAACTGTTGGAACACAGGTGCCAGTGTCCACAGTCAAGTGTGTTTTACGTCTCCATGGGCTGAGAGGCGGCACCTTAACGCCCAACTGAAGTTTGCTGCTGATCACATGGACATAGAAAAGGCCTTCTGGAGAAAAGTTCTGTGGTCAGATGAAACAAAAGTTGAGCTACTTGGTCACAATAACCAGATATATGTTTGGAGGAGAGAGAGTAAGGCCTTTGACCCCGAGAACACCATATTTACCGTCAAGCATGGTGGTGGCAGTATTATGGTCTGGGACTGCCATCAATTTAACTGGTGTTTTACAACAAGTAAATGGAATAATGAAGACAGGGGATTACTGCCACATTCTTCAGGAAAATTTCAAATCATCAGTCAGAAAGTTGAGTCTTGGCTGCAGTTGGGTGTTCCAACAAGACAGAGATCCAAACCACACCAAAATCAGTCTAAAAAAATCAGTCTAGAATGAATGTTTTGGATTGGTCTCCCCAAAGTCCTGAGTTAAATGCCATCAAAAACCTGTGAACTGCACCGAGGAAACACGTCTGTGTCAGAAACCCAACAAATGTAGTTAAACTGAATCCACTCTGTCAAGAGGAGTGGTCGAACATATAACCAGAGGCTTGCTAAAGGCAAGTGGACGGCTACCAAAGTGCCTAGTTGAGGTGAAAATGGGCAAGGAACAGTTCCATTTTTGACCCAGCAGATTTTGTCATATTTCAAGAAGACCTAAAATAAATCCATCAAATCTTTTGTGACAAAGATGTACGTGTTTCAATAATTCAATCACACAAAATAAAGTGCTGTAGGAGTCACTCAAAACTCAAGACTGACAAGTTATACATGTTCTTCATAAGTGTATGTTTGCAACTGCATCTTGTCCTTACTAGGTCACAACAAATGAAAGACTATGTCGATAGTCTTGGATCTTCACAAAAGCTTTTCTTTTACACACCATTGTTATCTCTTTTCTAAACAACGTGCACTTTTTGGATAAATAATCGTAATTATATATTCAATTCTTCCAACCTTTATTGGCCTCGAACTTCTTTTATGCCTTTTCTTTCTCAGTAGTTTTTCTCGGTCCTGGAAAAACAGACAAATCGAAAGAAATTTTTACAAAAAACAACAACAACAAAAAAAACAAAACAAAGCACACTATTGTCACAACCACTTAATGACTAAACAACAAACTCTTTACACAGTTCATTGAGGACATTACGCATCAGATGCTGATGAGTTCACCATATTATCACGATAGTGGTAACATCGCTAAAAAGTTAAACTCGAGATAACAACATACGATTCACAAATACTGGCTTTTGGTCAATGCAGACTATTATATTTGCTTAATTCTATGAAGCTTTATCCATCATGCTGGATCTTTTTTTTGTTTAGGTATCATTTCCCTTGTCAGTAAGTACAAGTTTGTGCTCTTGGTCAGCAGTTTTGTGGTAATTATGCACTCATTAATCTTGAGCCTTGGATTTGTGGTCTGACCAGTACGGCTTTTGGAATAATTTTTAGTACAACATAATGTCCTGCACCTGAATGAATAATAACATCAATACATGAACAAATTCTAATTAAAAACTCACAGAATCTGGTTAGTGCAAATGTCATATTTTTGATAAACAATTGAATTTTGGACAAACTGGTTTTGACGATTAGATTAGTTTAAATTGGGTTAGCTTAGATTTTGTTATTTTTACCGACTAAAAAGCCATGCTGAGTATTTCAAGAACCAGCAGAGAGTGGAAAAGCTGACGACATATCTTTTATCACAGGTTCTAGCTCTGATAAAGGGTGCAATCTTGGCGATCTTGTCACAGTCTTGAGTATACACAAACCGCTGAGAAAATCAAAATGAACCTGAACAAATGCGCTCTATGACATAACATACTCTTGTCAGTTCATCTATCATGCTCTGTTGCTCCAGGACTTGAAGTTTGAGAAAGGCTATTTCCTGGTCATCATGGGCTTGGTCCAGGTCATTCAGTGACTTCAGCTTCTTCAGTGGAGGATGGGAGCTTATCCTCTCCTTCTGCAGACACAACACAAAGAGAGAAATGTCCTCTGAGATCCCCATGTCAGCCTGTATATAAAGAATGAGGCACATGTAACTTTGTGCTGACCATCTCAAGGTTCTCCTTCGCCAGGCTCTTCAGTTTCTCCTCCAGCTTCTGGATAGTCTGGGTCAAATCGTCATTCCTCTTAGTCAGCAGCTTGTTCTTGTCCAACAGGGGCTTGCACTGTTTCTCCGACTCTCGAACTCGCTTCAGCTGGTGGTGAGAACAGAATATGCGGCAGGTATATATGAAAAGGTGAAAATTGATGAGATTGTTTTCCATGTAGAATCAAATGATTTGGCCGTACCAATTCATTTCTCTCATCGACCAGCAGCGAGTTGCGGTCCTCCAGTTTGCGTATGGTTGAGTTGAGTTCAGCTACGCGTCTCTGGTTTCTCCTCAGGTCCTGAGACAAACAAACAAATCATCTGACAAACCCATCCACAGGCTAGATGTGGAGAATTACACCCTAAATCATCGGAGTGCAGCACTGGGAGAGATGAGGACTTTCTAATGGCAATGTTATGCTTTTCCAGCGCAAACTATAAAGGTTTGCTTCAGTAATTCTATTAGTTACAACTAATTGAGAGTTCAATGCTACTTTGAAACATCGATTATTTTGCAGGGATCATGCATTAACAATAAAAGCAGATTAAATCAAACACAAAGACACTGGATCGACTATTTCTGCGCGAGTCAAAACACATTTATGTGCTTAGACATCAATTCAAAATTTCACGCGTTGTTACGTTAACAGGGCTTCAACAAGCGAGCTGACAAAACGTAATCATGACACTCAACTGACTCAAACTGTAAACTGTAACTGAACCTTAACTGAATTATCATGTTGTTGCTGTGAGCTGTTTACAGGGAATTGAAAAGTCATGCTAAGGTTTAAACATCTGTCTTGTGATTCAGGCAAGTTTTGAGCTTTGCGTAGGGTCCTTATCTAAAACAAGAAACCTGTTGTATTCAAAGCGGAAAGTAAAAACATGAATTAAGAGACAGGAAAAGAGAAAAATGCCCACATTTTGATACCGATGCGTGAAATGACTGAGGAAAGCATTAAGCTCGTGCTGTCTATTTGCTCTACTTACTGGGCTGCCACAATGCTCTGCGCCATCTCCAGCTCTGCCAGGAATCTCTCGTTTCGGGCTTCCCAGGCCGCACTCAGCCTCCTTGACGAGGAACAGTTGTTCATCCAGCGCGTCCTTCTGAAGCTGCAGCTTCTGTAAGAAACCCGCCGTGGACTCTAGCTCCTTCTCCAGAGCAAAAATGGTCCGGTCTTTAGATTTGATTTCATCCACCTGTATGTGAAGGAGAGGAAAATAATGACATTTTTAAGAATTTGCTGACAGGGCATCACTTGATTTTGTTGGAGGAAGGTGCGTTGAAAATCATAAATGTCCTGTTTAGGTCATTCATGTTGGATATTCCATCTCTGACATGCTTTTTAATCTAAAACTACGGACATTTAAAATAGTAGCTGTGAAGTTTTAGATTGATATATGAAGTACTTTCTGAGATATTTTTTTGAATTGCCCATCTGCCTACTTCCAGCAAAATTTGAATTGAAGAAAATACTTTAAGGACAATATCTCAGAAGCTATGAAAGAGTGACAGCCTACAAAGTGGGTGCGAAAAATGAAAAATAGGGCCACAACTACAAAAAAAAATTCTACCTCCAGAACTTTTGCTTGGATCAAGAAATCACCAATACTTTTGGCTACCAGCTTCATCACTTATGACAAGAAATTTCCATTTTTGTCACCAAAGTACTTTATATTAACCATTATTTAAAATGTTTGTTTTTATTGTTATTGTGCCATAAAACTACACATAGTTCAGAAAATATCTGAATTATTCATTTTTAATTTTTTTTGTTAATGTGACTTCAAACATGGGACTTTTTATGACAGCTTCAATTTTTTTAAATTCACATTTCACCTCAGTGATAATCACAGATTATTTGATATTTAATATTCTGAATCTATGCCATGATGAGAAAAATCAGTGACGTTTATCTTGAAAAGTTCCTGAGATATTGTTGTTCAAACAGCTTCAAATTTCAATAAACAACATGCTTAAAGTGGGTCAATTGGTAATAAAGAAATTTTAAAAGCATATCTCAGAAAGCATTCGATACATCAAGCCAAAATATCTTTAAAAAAATACAAATTTCAGGCAATCAGAGGTGGTCGAGTGGAAATTCTTCTAAAACTTGGACTATTTTAAATGGAATGACTGATGACCCTGAAATTCGTAGATTAATTTCTAACTGTATTGATTAAAAGCATGATAGTTATATCTTTATGTTTTCACACATTTCGCCACAGACATCAGGCTGGGCTCCAGATTTTGCATGATTATTCGTCATTGTTGTCAGGTTTTCCTGTTTCTCCACAGCACACTCTCTCTCTATGACTCCAGTCACATGCAACACAAAGAGTTTGTGTCACAGGAAAACATTCTCCATGCCATGAGTACTCACTAATATCATGAACATTATATTTAAGTGAATAAGTATTTATTAGTGTTGGCTGTACACACCAGTCTGCGGATGTCCCTCTCACAGTCCCACTTAATCTTGGAGATCTGCTCCTGGTGCTGCTGGTGCTCCACCCGCAGGTCTCCAGCCTTCATCTTGTCGGCTTGGATCATGTTGCTGAGAGCCTCGTCGGTCTGCTTCTTGGTGCTCTTCAGCTCTGCTATCTCCTGCAGGAGCTTCACTCTCTCCTGGTCAAAGAAGCGCCGTGCCTCCTCCTTGGCTTCCAGGGTAAGAGCTGTGCGCACCTGAAGGAGTCATGGCAGAAAGAGGAAAGGCGCTGATGTGACTTGGTAGCATTTCCACAGAACATATGCCAATATATATCAATTTCACAAATATCTGTCATCTCAAACCCTTGCTTCACTCCCCTCACCTTCTCTCCGCTGCCGTCTCGCATGGCGCTCAGCGCTGCTTTCAGCCTCTGGTTCTCTTGGTCTTTGATTTTGGCGTGGCGGGCCAGCTCCTGCTCGTGCTGCCGTGTCAGGTTTTCCCTGAGAGCCTGGAGCTCTTTTTGCTTTTCCTCGTGCCACTTGGCCCGCTGCTCCGTTAACATGGCAGTGTGACGGTGCTGCTCCTGCTCTCGCACCCGCTTCACCTCCTGCACCTTGTCGCGCTCCAGCTTGCTCACCTTTGAGGGGAAACGACATGCTGCCATCAGGTATTGTTTTTAAACATCTGACATTCTTGTAGCTTTGGTTGCTGTAAGGATTCCCTTATCAAATTCATATTTTTGATAAGATAGTGAGAGCTATGTTAACCCTCTCAACCTCAAAACCCATTAGCAGATTTATGTTATCATTAATAAAAAATCCCCAAATTAAACCATTTATCAGACCCAGAATATATATAAAGAGGAAGAGTAACCACATTTTAACATTGTCATGGTCCTTGATCTGATCTCACAATTTAAATCATAGTAGTTCATCACAAATCACTTTATTCTAAATGTTTAAATTAAAAATCCACCAAAAATAAACCATTTGCTTCAATAATTTCCTGTAAAAACTAATAATTCTGCACTCAGTGCCACTAAGTAATAAACAGTCAAGTGACAAACATTCTGAGACTTTTTGGCTGAACTGGGTTGAACTTCAGGCTGTGTTTACACAGAGTAGTATACAAGTATGGAAGTAAGAGTATGGATGCAAAAATAAAAAAAATAAGTAGTAAAATATCTACAATATGTAGAGCCACATGTTGGTAACACCTGTGGGCACTTGGCAAACTACTGGTTCAATTCCAGGTTTAAAAAAAATTGTAAAATAAATAAGTATAGAAATTTGACTTTGTTTTTTTCTTTTTTTTATGATTTATTACAAAATAACTCTATTTTATTTAGTTCTCTCTACCATAGAGGTGCAGGACCTTTTATTACAGTAAATAAAATGAACCCACAGTGAGTAAAAAATGTGACAGTAGCAAATTTAAAACTGCTTGGGGTTCAGGGACTTAAGTGGCTTTTGATACAAAATAAGCCAGATTATTTTCCCAAAGCATTAGGATCTAAAAATCCACCAAGTTTACGTCTTGTTCAGAACAAACTTCTTTCACCTTGCATTTTTCTTGGTGTAGCTCTATCTGAATGTCAGTCAGCTTGGACCTGAGATCTTCATTGGCTGCCTGTAGGGCAGAGATGAGCGCTTCGGGCTTCTCGCCCTTCGTACGCCCTTTCTTAGCCATTGAGTCAGAAACTAGAGAGGCTCTTCCAATGCTTTCATTGAGACTTCATAGAAACTTTCCAAGGCGCTCCCAAGGTTTCCAGTTCCTCCTCTTCCTCATTCTCCTAATAGAAACAAGGGCTTGGGGGTGGAGAAGGAACAAAGACAAGACACATGCATGTGGTTATGTGAGCAGGAAGTGAAAGATTACCAAAACTGGCTAAGGACAAGAAGGTTGCTGGTTTTAAATCCCAAGTTAGCATGCTCAAAATGACAATGCTGATGTTTAGCAGGTATTTTATTTACCCCCTTAGTTTGGCAAGTCAACAGATCAACATTTGCTAATTGGAATTCATTCACAAAGAGAAAACATGGTGGGGTAACAACAGGAAAAGTCAAGGAATTAGTGAAGTCATCAGGTTCATCCTTTGAACATCCTTTGGACAAATTTCAATCTGGACCAAAATGGTGACCCAAGTGGAAATCCCAAAATGACTAAAAACTGAGGGTGGAGTCTTTTTTTGTGTGTGTGTGTCTATAAATGGATGCGTGGAGGGAAAATAACTGAGTGGAATGTGTCAGCACAGATTTCATAACCTAATTTCCCAGAATAAGTTCCATATTTTCATATCACATTAGGTTTCTCAGAATTTGTTAATGAATGTCATTTAGGATCCCAAGATCAGACATCACATGCACTTCATGTACACGTGTACACCCAAAAATTGTTAATAACAGATATCTCTTCTTTTATTATAAACTTATCAACAACAGTCACACTTTTCCAGTTAACACAAGAATATGAGATGTCCACATGAGGCTGCTGACATTAAGTCTGATACACAGGCTGTGTGATACAAACTTTTTTTTTGTGCTATAAAGAAGAAAACCCAGTTTCCAAGTAATTAAGCATTTCAAGTAGCGCAATCAAATGTGGTTAATATTGTTTTATTGAGGTGCTGATCCGACTTTATGGTTATTTCGGAGTCTGTTGTTTGTGTTGAGTTGTGTTGTGTTATACTGAAGTGTGTCGTATATAATGCAACACAACTCAACAGCCTCCACAATAACCATATCAGTGGATCTCTCTAGATCAGGTAACCAAAGTGTGCATGATAATCTTGACAAAGGTAGCACGCATTGCAGGACTCTGTTAGACTTCGTTTTAGCTTAGTGTGCCTCATAAAGAGCATAATATTGTATGCGAGACTGTAAAATTTTGTCAATGTAATTAAAATTTGACCACTGAAGCCTCACACACATGCTTGAATGACTTCTGTATCCCAAGAACAGATGATGTGCTTCTGACTAAGATGTAGGAGATAAGATTCCAAAGAACACTATTAACAAATTTGCAGAATACAACACTGTGACACCACTTCCTGGAAGTGTAGTACTCTGACACGGTTGCTGGATCTGTTCATTTTATTCTCCATTCAGTGTCTTTCACAACTGTTACTGCTACACACAGCAGCGGCCTTAAAATATGATATAACAGCAGGACATACAAAGTGGTCTGCTCAAAGCAGTAAGGAGGAATGGAAGAGTTACTTTAACATAAAATGGCTATGGTGAGTATATACGTCAGATAGAAGACTTTCATCTCAGGAATTTCACAGTGCAAATAAGAAACAGGTAGGGCAGCAATCATAATTGTCATGTAACGTACCACTAGAGCGTTGCTGGAACAGATGGTTGTCTGGTTCTGCAGAGTCAGTGGTAATCCTTCCTGCCCTACTATTTGTCTTTTCTTTTCGGCACAGTCTGAGGTCAGCTGAAAGCCAATGACCCGCTGTGTTCCGCAGACAGCCATGTTTCGGGTTTATATCTGCATAGGGTTTGTAATATCAGACTACGAGAAAGAGTGAACACAACTGTTTGACGGTCAGTAAACCTGCCCATGTTCTTGACGTAACGCTTCTGTTGGAGCAGGTATGTTCTCAGTTCACTGCAGTGATGGCTGACAGTCAGTCATCCTTTTAAATAAAGTCTACATCCTCATAGCCTTTTTTAAAAACATATTCCTACCTTCCAACACACACACACTCACACACACACACACACACACGTTACTACCAAAATAAGAGCCTACAAGGTCAGTCATGTCCATGTGTCATGAGTAGTTTACTTTTCTTTGGCATTTTGCACATAAAATGAGCTGCAGATATGATATTTTTCTTTGTCACACATGACAGAAAAGTAAATATCTTTAAATTATATCAGGCAAAATGGTAAATAATAGAATTGAATAGAACTCTCACCAAGCTTCATGCTGTGTTGATTAACCAACACAGCACGAATCGATTAACTGATTAGTTAATTGATAGAAAATACATCTGCAGCTAAAACTGCAGCAAAAATCTAAACTATTTGCTGCTCCTGACTTCCTAATGTACAAAAATTTGAGTCTGCAACTTTGTGATAGAGAAGCACTAAACAGCCATCCTCCAGCTGGCACATGTTGCTATCAGTGTCATGGATCGAACCTGTGGTTACTGGTTGGCTAAACTAATGAGGTTTGACACAGGGTGACTGTACTATTGATTAATTACACAATAACAGCTCACTCTATGCTAATATGGCACCTAGATTAGGCTCTACCACAGCCTACAGTATGGCACTAATGTGTCTATAACACTACTATACATATTTTATCAGCAGGAAATGCTGATATTCTGTGGATTACAGGTTGTTGTCTTTCTCGATTTGTCATGACAAAAATGCAGGAAGTTGGTGCAGTGCTAGCAAACTCTAGACAACAATTAGCAGCATTTAAAAAAAAAAAAAAAAAAGAATCTTTTCATCTCCAGAGAATGCAGAAATATCATACATCTATCAAGTAATATGAAAAATAATACCAACAAATCAAAGAATATTTACCCCTGATGCAGTGGATGTTTTTCAGTCTTTCTTTTCATTTCTATTGATTTATTATTGCATGCAAGTAGGACTGAAAGGTTTGGGGAAAACATCTAATTGCAACTTTTCTTACAGATATTGTGATTGCACCTTGATTTGCCATGACCTGAGGTGTGACTGTTAAATAACATAAATGGGCTTATGTCAGTCAAAACACAGCGTGCATACCTGAAGCACATGTATAAACTGATATATGGGTAAGCATAAATATTAGTCTCAAGGTCTCAGTCTGCATGAATAAAGGAAAATTTAGTTATTAGTCACATTATTTAATAGCTTTGTACACCCTAAACAGCAGCTTTTGCAACGTGCTCACTGCAATGCTTCAGACTGGGATTTCAATCTGAAATCGATTAACTGTTCAGCCGTAAGTGCCAGAAAGCCAGAGATAAATTCCTGTAACAATGCTCCAAAATTTCAGCATCCACATGCACAATTTATGTTGACCCAATGTTGAGGAGGGTGCGTACACTGTAAATATAATATATATATTTATTTTATTTTTTATTTTTTTCCAAGAAATTGCTGACTCTTTTCAAGAAACATCTTAAAATTTACTAGGAAATGAAGAAACTGAAAAAAAAATACTACTGTTAGAAATTATAAAAAAAACTAAAAAATCTCCGTAGCACTGCTCTGCATATGCCAATTACTGTTGGGATTCGAGTCTTGTGCTTTTATTTTGGTTGTATTTCCTGTGTTTTAGTTTTGCTGTGCTTTGCACTTCCAGGCTGAGCGAGGCCACGGTCGAGGAGGACTCGCTCACTCATTATCCACCACACCTTCCCCGCATCACAACAAGTGCTGCTTTTAAGCTGGCTTCTCCCTATGATGCGGTGCCAGAGGATTCACTCCCCTACGAGTGGAAGATCAGCCACGCTTCTTCTCGAGTTCTCGTGTTTGTTGTTATCTAATTCTATGCTGACGTTTTTGTGTCTGCATTCTCTGCAGAGCCTCCTCAGCCTGACGTCCTGCCCAGCCGTTTCGAGGTGACCACCAGCAGCAGCCCTCCAGGTTTCCCCCCATTGGATCTGAGCCTTCACGAGCACCCTCTTCCCTGGAACATGGATTCCCCCCCTGCACTGGAGCACTTCGCTGGAGCCCCCTAAGCCCTCTCACCTCCCCTCACGAAGTCCAGCGTGCACCGGCACGTCCCTCTCCTGCTTCCTTGGTGTCCTCACTCCTTCCCCGATTAAAAACCCTCTTTTTTACAACCCACCTACCTTGTCGCATTTATTGGGTCCACTTCCTGTAAATTAGGAGCCAACTCCTAACAATTACAAGAATTATTTACTATGTGACGAGTTTCCAAACACTTGTATAATCTACTGAACTACAGTAGGAGACCAACACGAAGGCTTGTAATCAACTACATGACAAAAAGGAGATGCAGAGGGAATCTGACTGTACTTGACCTAATGTTTGTTCAAACACAATATTGGGATTACATAATGCGCTCCCAGGGATCATTTTCAGTTTACATTAAAACATAAGGGTCGTTCCACCCCAATTCACCAAACGCCTGACCACCTTCAATTTTGCAAATGTTTTTGTGGTGAATATTGACTGAGTTGACCGTGCGTAAAATCTGGGGTTACACATAACATTATTTTTTGAGTTAAAAATTGTTAGAGGGTTGGGTCATGTCAACTTTTGCGCCATTTTCTTCTTGCTGATCTGTGGAGCAAAGTTTGAAGCGCCATAAGTTGAGAAATAATGTAGCTAGAGTCCTGAACAAAACAAACCAGTGATATGATGGCGTAAATTTAGTCAAAACAAATTTTCTAAAATTTCACCAACCATTTTTTCAGCTCTTTGTGCTTCAAATAATTCTATGAAAAGTGGCACCACAAACAGTCACAATTAACCAACACCAACAAAACTGCTCTCTTCTTTCCAAAAAACATCTTACACATTTAGAAAGAAATGGATGCCAAAAAAAAAAAAAATCCTACTTTCACAAATCGTAACAAAATTCTGTTCCTGCTCCTAATTTTAACAATAACTTTCAACTGTAAAATTATTCTGGAAGTCAGTGGCTGCGTATAGATTCAGGTACTTAGTATATGCTGTCTTGAAACAATTTACTTTTCCAACAAAAAT